GGAACGTTCGACGCGATACAGAGAAGATAGATAAACTAGTACGGCCCCTGGGGTAAGAATTACACACGCACAAATAGAGAAACTGACTGAAAAAAAATGAAAAAAGAGAGAGTGAGTTCACTTGCTCTTCACAGCTAGCGGCTATGGCCAACAAGAGAAAGAAGAAATCTTTCGTACCGGGCACATGGTGATGGTGCGCGGGGAAGAATTGACGAGAGGAAGGAAGGGTGGGGGAGGGCTCATAAGGGGTAGGACCCTATCTTTTAAGAGAAAACAAAATCAAAACGAAGCTATAATACTTAATACAACAGAGATTGTGAAAGAAGAATGAAGCAAGAAGGAAAGATCGGGAGAAAGAATGTAAAAGAAAAACAAAAAAACAGGAAATTTTTTATTATTATCGGAAGTGATAACCCTACAAGGCACTCCACGTCCTGCGTTCTCGTCGTTGTCCTTCGTCTGAGTGTATTCTCTCTGCCGCACGTGAGTGCGCCATCTGAGCGAGTAACCTGAGGGCGGAGGAAGAGACCCCAACTGAGAGAGAGAGAGAGAGAGAGAGAGAGAGAGAGAGAGAGAGAGAGAGAGAGAGAGAGAGAGAGAGAGAGAGAGAGAGAGAGAGTGATGGGCCTCGTCGCACTCCTCGTTCCACTGCTCATGGCACCGCTGTTTTGGTGAGCGCTGCATGGGTCTCGTTCCACTGCTCATGGCACCGCTGTTTTGGTGAGTGCTGCATGGGTCTCGCTCCACTACTGTCTGTCGAAAAACTCGGAAAATTTTGGAGAGTCCGTCTGTGAGTAGTTGTCAGAGCCGAGAACTCGCGAAATTCCCACCTTTTTTCCTTTTTTACGACAGGGATCTCGCCCGAGGGGCGTGGTCCCACTAGCAAAGAGGATCGGATCGAATGACTGAATCTGGACGAAGTCGTGGCAATGTGCAGGAAATTGAACTGCTTTTATGCATCTCTACATAAAGTACGTCCAGATTCAGGCATTCGATCCTATCCTCTTTGCTAGCGGGACCTCCGCCCAGGTGCACTGTGAGTAGTTTAGTTTTCTCCGACTGTGCGGCGCCAGGTGGCGGGAAAACAAAAAACGAAGTCTTAGGATGTGAACAAAAAAGGAGGATGTGAAGTCATAAGAACATGGACTGTCCTGATGTCCATGTAGAGGGCATCGCCACACCACTCCCCAAATGTGCAAAATGAGAATGAACTTTCTTCTGGAACATGGCCAGATGCACCTGCCACGTTTTAGTCTTTTTCACATTTCGAGAGTGGTGTGGCGAGGCCCAAGTCGCTACAGCGAACTTCAAATGCAGACCGCCCAACGTTTCCTCCTATTCCTTTGTCTGACAGATGCGAAAGAGCGGGAGGGGGTGGGGTTTTCCTTCACTTTCTAGGACCCAAGAGGATTGCTTGGTGTAGCTACCTTCTTCCCCCGAATAGAACGTACAGTAATTATAGCTGCATTTGAGGCATGTTTCAGTCTGCTATGGTGACCATACATTCTATTCGGGGGAAGAAGGTAGCCACCCTGCATTTCTGAGGGTGGCTGGGCTGCGCGGCGGCCTCCCACCCGCTTCCTTCCAGTCCCCGAAGGCCAAATGGAAATATGACACAACTTCAAGGTACTGGCCTGACCTTGACAGAAACCTGCGAGTTGACATCTGCCCTCGGATCCGTGGCCACTGGACGGTTCACGGCTGTCACAGAGTCCCCACAACCACAATACTCAGCGCATGTGGGCCGAGCCCCCAGAAGTGGGACTCAATACCCCCTTCCCTCGACTTGGCGCCTGGCCACACCACTTAGCGCCAGGTAGTGAATGGGTCTCGAGAGTAAGGCCTCGCTCCACTCATTCTAGATAGGTGCTCTCGAAAACGCCCTTCGAGAGCTGTCAGAAAGCACTCTCGAAGGGCACTCTCGAAGTGTCTAGAGTGCTCAGCCTGCAACGACATGCTTTTCCAGTGTCCTCCCTCGTAACCCCCCGCTCCGACCATTTTTTTTCGTGAGTGCACCACCATCAGAACAGGGCTGTGCTGTCTCTTAGTGCGGTCAGAGAGCTCCTCTCATTCCGCCACTGCATCTAGCAAAGCCTTCTAGAGTAAGTGGAGCCAAGACTTTTTTTTCGAGAGTTTTGCACGTCTGACAGCTCTAGAAGGACTCACGAAACTTTTCGTGAGTCAAGAGTAGTGGAGAGAGACCCAATGTTGCAGCAGTACTACAAATAAGGGCCTCGCCACACCACTCATAAAACAGGGAAATGTTTCAAGAGCTGTCAGTCGATTTCAAGAGTTGGATTTTCAAGAGTTTTTGGCCCCTCGCCACACAACACTCTTGAAACGGCGACAGTGCTGGGCAAAGGCTGCAAAAAGACAGTGGTACAACTTTTTTTTTTTTTATGGCGTCAGGATAATGGCCCAACAACTCTTGAAAATCAATAGTCCCTCAAGGGTTCGGCCGAGGACACTTGAATACGCACGAGTTGCAGGCTGGGGTTTCCAATCTTTCAAGAGCCACTCTGTTACATCCCGTAAAGGTACAGACAGAACAAGAACCGACCTCTCAATGCGAAGTACAAGATGGCGCAAACGGAAGACTTAGATATCAATGAGCCGATCAATCAATGTTGCAATGCAGTCCAGAACACACATCGTCATCATCATCCCAGGGTGTGAAAGGGGTCTGGTGCTTCACACAGGAAGACTGCGCCAGCCCCACACATACACAGACGAAGATGAGGGCGGTGAGACGAAGAGGAGGAAAAGATGGGAATGTCGTCAACACCAAGTCTTCGGCACAGGCCCAAATAGTCCCTCGTCAAAATGTCTGAATCCCAAATGTCGAGTCTGTATCCAATGTCGTCAAGTCTCAGATCATATCTCTCTCT